TGGCACTAATCATCTCTACCAAACGGGGTTGTTTGTTGGTGGTGGTGGGTTGTGTTTTTTTCCTAAAATTTCCCATTGATTTTGTCCTGCCTTAGGTTTGTTTTCCTTTCAGTGATGCAAGGCAAATAAATTCATTTGTTGCTCACGGGCAAAAGCAGCTTTTACAACGAGACAAAATCATCATTAGGCTGTGACAATGGTGGTTCACTGGTAAAATCTGCATTACTCCAGAAACACTCAGTGGGCCTTCCCTCTTGGTCACGAACATGCCCGTCTGCTTCTCCGGGCTCTCGGAGCACACCTCAGCACAGGCCGAGGGCTCTTCCAAAAGCACATGCAAGGATAGAAGACCACATCGGAGAAGTGCTAAGGCTTGCTGCCTGATTTCTACTAAGTCCCCTCTGAGTTTGTTTGTTTTTGACCCAGGCACATGTTTATTTTCGTAACTGAAGAGCTTATAATCCTGGACATGGAAAAGAAATATATTTTCTGTTTTCTAACTTACGGTTGTAGCTCGTAGGTGGTTTGACTACCTTGGTTCGAGCTACGTGTCATTATGCTACAAAATGGCCTGGCTCCTTTAAGAAGCCACACGTTGTAGACCCAGAATCAAGCTGAGTCATTCACCCAGAGAGAGAATTAGGAACAGCTGGGCAGCTACTGGAGGTAAAAGCAGAGACCGAAAAGGAACACACTGCCTCTCTAGGAAATGTTCCAGGGCCTCAAGCCCAATGTGGACGGGAAAGTTGCACAGGCACGTCTTGCTCATGAAGATGAGCCCCGTGCACCGTGGAGCAAGGACAGCCCCTGTGTTACAGAGCGGACTCAGGCGTCCTGCAGCCAGGCGCCAGCAGGGGTCACGTGAGTCAGCAAGCTGTCACTCCCTCCGAGTCTGCAGAGTTTGGGGGTCTGCGCATCCCCCTCCTCATAAAATTCAGTGGCTGCTGAACACCTCCTGGGGCCCTTGAAAAAGTCAGTTGCTACCGGTCAGAATGGCTAAAATGAACAACTCAGGAAATGGCAGATGTTGGCGAGGATGTGGAGAAAGGGGTGGGAATGCAAGCTGGTGCAGCCACCCCGGAAAACAGTAGGGAGGTTCCTCAAAAAGTGGAAAATAGAGCTACCTTATGACCCAGCAATTGCACTACTAGGGATTTACCCCAAAGGATACAAACATAGTGAGTCAAAGGGGCACTTACCCCAATGTTTATAGCAGCAATGTCCACAATAGCCAAACTATAGAAAGAACCCAGATGTCCACTGACAGATGAATGGATAAAGAAGATGCGATACACACACACACGCACACACACACACACACACACTAGAATACTACTCAGCCATCAGAAAGAAATGAAATCTTGACATTTGCAATGACATGGTTGGAACTAGAGTGTATTATGCTAAGTGAAATAAGTCAGTCAGAGAAAGACAGATACCATGATTTCACTCATAGGTGGAATTTAAGAAACAAAACAGATGAACATAGGGGAAGGGAAGGAAAAATAAAATAAGATAAAAACAGAGAGGGAGGCAAACCATAGAGACTCTTTAACTATAGGAAGCAAACTGAGTGTTGCTAGAGGGGGGTGGGTGAAGAGAAGGGGTAACTGGGTGAGGGGCATTAAGGAGGGCACTTGATCTAATGAGCACTGGGTGTTATATGTTAACTGATGAATCAGTAATTCTACTCCTGAAACTAATAATACACTATATGTTAACTAAATTGAATTTAAGTAGAAAATTTAAAAAAAGGAGTCAGTTGCTTTATGACCACTTTGTCCAAGTGACTGGAACCAGTTAGAGATGCACACTTCATCTCAGTGAGTTAAAGGATGACATTAAAAATTGTAAACTGATTACATGAAGAAAATAAGACATAGTATTGTCTCAAATGTGAAAAAGAGAGAATCTACAAATAATCAAAGACTAGGAGGACTAGTATTAAAGTCTAAAAGTGGTTATATCTGGGCTCTGGGCTTATGGGTCATTTTTATGTCCTATCTATTTATTCATATCTTTTATGTTATCCTTTACTTCTCAGTGTGGCACAAATTTCCACGCTCCATCCATCCTTTATTCAGTAAATACTCCCTGAGCACATATTGTGTGTTTGGCACCTTGTAGGGGAAGAAAGCTGAGCAAGTGCCAAGTCTTTACCTTGATCTACCACCTCCCATGGGTCTGACATCACCAGCCCTTCCTCCTGGATCAGATGGCTGAGGTTTTATTCCCTTCCCAGGGCGAGGGCCCCTTGCAGGTTCTACGGTGTTGGTTGTGCACTCTCTCAAATACAAGCAAGACTCCTTCCTGCCCTTCCTTCAGACCCTGCTCAGATGTCAGCATGTCAGGAAGGCCTTTTCTTTTTTTTAACATTTATTTTTTTTAAGATTTTATTTATTTGAGAGAAGGTGAACAAGAGAGAGAGAGAGAGCGCGCAGGGGGAGGGAGAGGGAGAAGCAGGCTCCCCACTGAGCAGGGAGCCCGATGAGGGGCTCAACCCCAGGACCCTGAGATCATGACCTGAGCCGAAGGCAGACACTTAACTGACTGAGCTACCCCGGCACCCCAGGAAGGCCTTTTCTGACCACCTGATATAATCATGCCCTTACCTGCTTTGATTTTCTTTATGACACTTGTCAATATGTATCTTTACAATATGTATATAGTTGAACACTGACTCCCACCAAAATGTGTTGTCTTTGAGGAGGGGTCTTCAGTCTTGTTCATTGCTACATCTCTACTGTCTAGACCATGCCTGGCACGTTGTGGGCAGTCAGTAAATTTGTTCTCTTCCTTAACGGAAAAGTTGTGATACGTGTTTTACATATATCAAGAATGAGTATCAATACAAAAATTCAGGTGTTAAGAAATACGGTGTCTCTATTTTTTACAATATTTTTGAAATCCTGACTCCAACACTGCTGGGCCAGTAGAAAATATCATTTCAATTATTGTTCTGCTTCCCTCCCGACCCACTCTCAGGGGGCGGGGCTGTCAAGATTCCAGGAGTCTAAGGCAGTGACAAGAGCCTCTGCTAATTAACCCACCATGTTCTGTCTGCATGGTGCCTTCGTGCCTGATGGCCATCTACTGTTTCTGCACAGGGCCGAGAACATCAGTGCCTGTGGCCTCCGCTCCAGATGCTTCATCGAAAAGCTCTTTCTCTCTGGGGTCATGCTCCAACATGGCTCCGGCCAGAAAGCAGAACCCACAGAAATTGCTCCTCCCCACAACTGGAGGGATTTCCTTTTCATCTATTGTTTCCCCACCTGTTTTTCCAAGTCCCTAAAGCTTTTCTCAAAGTCTACCCTCTCCTTGGGCCTCCGGCTCTTAGAAAACAAAAGCCAGAATCCTTCTGCTTCTTATCTTGGCATTTACCTCCCTGAAGCAAAGGACATGGAGTCTGCTACCTGCTCAAGTGGGAAATGGAAAGGGAGAACTTCAAACGGCTTTGACACAAGTCAGAAGTGAACGTTACAGGATTGGGACAGATAATGCAGAGAAGAAAGGGATTCCACTGAGGCAGGGGTGGGAAGAGAGAAACCGAGGCAAACTGAAGACTTAAGGTATCTTGCCCTTGTGAGTGAGCCTGGGAGGCTGGGCAGTATTTCCTGTCATGGAGGGTGATGGATAGAAAGAGAGGCCCAAGCAAGGAGATATATTAGAGCTGGTGTAGAGCTGAAGGCAAATAATCTCGTCTGACCGGATGTGTTTGAGCCGTGGGAAAAGGAGTGCTTGCTGAGAGTGAGGGGAACAGTCCCTGGGTCACACTAGAGTTTGAACGTTGACACAGTTGGGAACAGCACTGGGGAACATAAAAAGAGTCCGTTCCTGAGGAACAAAAGAACAGATCCATGCAACTGCAAGTTTTCTCTCCGTAAATACAGAATCCTTGTTGTTGTTGTTGTTGTTTTTAAGTTTTTTTTTTTTTTTTAATTTATATTTGAGAGAGAGAGAGAGCATGAGCAAGAGAGAGGGGCAGAGGGAGAGGGAGAAGCAGACTCCCTGCTGAGCTGGGAGCCCAATGTGGGGTTCGGTCCCAGGACACTGGGATTAGGGCCTGAGCCGAAGGTAGACACTTAACCAACCGACTGAACCCCCCAGGTGCCCCAATACAGAATCCTTTTATGGTGGCTTTCTGCAATCTATCCAGGCAGACGTGAGAAGAAATAGCCTTTAAACCATATATCTGGTTTGAGGCATATATTAATTATATCATTCTCTGTGTTTTCTGCTAGACATTCTCTCTTCCTTACATGTTGTTATAGCATTCGTTAGAGCCTTCTTTTTTGGGAATCTGTTAAGATGCCAGAATCCCTCAGCATAGTAAACCTGGAAAAGTAGCAGCTCTTCATGGCCAGCATTCCCGACTCCCGTGCTGTCTTTCCCGGCACTGAACTTCTGTTCCCAGAGAAGCTCATCTTCACCTGCTCTAGTGCTGGCTTGTTTTCTTTCCTGGGCGGCTTTGGGCGGAGTGGGGGAGACAGTTCATCACGAAGACCAGTGGCACTTGGGGCTTCAAGGTCACTGTTGGGTCTACGACTGGAGCGGGTGAGAAAGGGGGAGCCGAAAACCCACCTCACTCCGGGGTGGGTGCCATGAGCTGCCCTCCCCCCTCCAGTGGTGCAGGAACCCGTCTTCCTTTATCCCCTTTTATTCTTTCCAAGGTTTTCCACACCTCCCATGTCTCTTTAGATCTGGTGTTGTTTTTACTTGATGGTACCTCTGTTGGGGATTTAGGGATTTGTATGAAGTGGGAAGTAAGAAAGAACAACAGAAACCTCTCTACCTTCTTAGCCTTACCGATACTCTCTTCGATAAAAGGACTGCTACTGTCCTCATGATCCCATGAGAATTGTTGGTACTGGTATTTTTAAACCACCTGATTTCAATATTCATACCTGGGCATATCCTAATAACATGGGATTATTGAATTCTTGTTCTCATCTTTGTAATGTTTCCAAGTTAAATATGTGACTATCAACTCTTTCCTCCAGCCCAAAGGAAAAGAAGTCCACTGAAAAGCTGGGAATCACAGAACATTTGGAATTGGGGGTTCAGAATTGCATGCTCCCTGGGCTGGAGCATCTTTCTCTTCTCTCTGACCATCCAGCAAAGGAAGAGGATGATCTAGAAGCAATGCTACGTGGAGCTTGGTTTACTTATGAGGCCAAAAGAGAATTGCATTTCTCATTATGTAAGAAACTAGAGCTTAAAGACCTGTTCAGGTTGTAGCCTAACAAATGTGAAGATTTGTCAGGGGCACAAGGGGTATAGAGGGGGCTGTGTCTAATTAGAGATCCCTTTTCCTCTGTCCCTCATAACCTGGGAAAGTACATGCTGGTGAAATTTCATCCTGAACAAACTACCTCAGATCTCTCTCCACTGTTCCCTCCACCCTGTCCAAGATAAGCTCCATTTTCTGGTGCAACATCACTCCAAGCCTTTTTTTTTTTTTTTTAATAGAATCCGCATATTTTTTCACTTTTGTTTATTTTTGCCCCAAAGCCTTTGGCCTTTCCCTTCAGTGAGTCACAGTATGGGACCATTTCAAAACGATCTGACAGGATGTTTCTCTTCCCAAGGGAGATGGGAAATGGGTAAATGACAGCCTATCCCAAGATGTTACCATGTTGCGTGCGGGGATTTTAATAAATTAATGGCATCTCACTTGCCACCAAAGCCACCTGATGGATGGACTTACAGGGAGACAGCCTTCTAGATCTTTCCCTGATTCCACAGAGATAAGATGGGAAAACTAAAGCATGGTTGTTAGGGGTTTATTCATATCAGTTGATTATGGGAATCAGTCCTTTTACTTCCTCTGTTACAGAAGTTTAGGATAGGCATTTGAGAACTCAGATTTTGCAACAAAATAATTGAACTATCGGAGGTGGGAGGTTACAGATAAGAGGAGAGAAGGCAGAAGCAGGGCATACTTGGACCCTCACCATCCCCCTGCACTTAACGCTTATTCTTCAGGCCTTTGCCTCTGGAAAGCCTCCACCCTTTCGCCACTCAGTGTGGAAAACTCCTTCTCCCCAGACGTAGCCACTCCCTCTTCTCTGCTCTTAAAGGGCTTTGTACTTTCCTCTGTTAGAGTACTTGGCATTCTGGGATTATGGTCATGTGTGCAGTGGTCACCCATTTTGCCCCCATTTTGAGGGGCAGGGAAGTGGGCCAAATTTGTCTCGGTATCCTCACCACCCAGAACAGGTCCTGTCGTATAGAAGGTCTAATAGGGCACATCCTAATATAAGGTGGTGAGTGTGTAGGGGCCGGGGATTCAGGGGCATTTCTGTTCCTAATGCTGACATGGGTATCAGCGTTTTCCTAATCTCTTCAGACAACACCCCTTCTCCCCTGTCCTTGGTTCTCTCAGCCTCCTCTTTCCCTTTCCCCCTTTGATTCACATAAGAAAATATAAAGTATCAGTAAAAGTTACTAGATGTGCGTGTAAGTTTTGATTACAAATATTCATTGGGATATTAGGACAATTACCAGCATGTATTCTCACTGCATGTCAAAATGTGGAGGCTGGCTTTAATCTTTCTACTGAGCTTTGACTTCTGCGTATGGTGGACATTTTTTTGGCTCTTGGCTGCCCAGCCCCCAGGCCCCCATTCTTCCAGTAACAATACCCTGGGTTTTTTTGGGGGGGGGTGTAATTATCTCCCCCCATTGGGTGCAGCCTTGGTGGTACTGAGTTCAAGGTAGCCCACTCTCCCTTGGCCTGGGATGAGTTATTAGTGGTCACCACTGTGTAGAGTATAGGACTGGGGAGAGGAGGCTCTAACTTAATTTTTGCAATGAACAATTTGAAAATTAAAGATTTAAGAAAAAGAAAATATTTGCCCCAAAGATCTGGCTAGACACAGTGAATTTTCCTGGTAAACCCATTTGAACAGCAACCACAGGCCTGGTCTGTCCTCCTCGATTGCACAGGGCCCAGGGGAATGCAGACAGCGCCACGTCACGCTCCCGAAGTTGCCAAAAATCCCTTGAAAATGATTGAACAGACGTTTTTTCTTGGGGTTGAGCGGATATACGACACAACAGCCTGCTTTCGATTCCAGGCTTGTTGGCTTAGGGGCAACAAAATCAATCCCTTTCAGGTTTGTTTTCTGAATGTTTTTTAAATCTTCAGAATTCTCATCACAAGAACCCTTACAGTATGCAAGAACACGACACACATCTGTGCGGGTCGCTGTGTTTCGTCCCGGGCTGCACACTTCCTGGGTGATGGTGGCATGGAACGGGCCTCCCCCAGTTGTCCTTGAAGCTGGAGCTCAGCGAGAAGTGGTTTCTGAGCTTTAGAACCAGCAGTTCCAATGGCACGAAGACAGACACGGCCCCTGTATCATCCGCAGTAAGAGTGGGGGTCTTGTCATTCACCAGTAGAAAGGAAGAGGACGTTGGACTTCCTAAAATAAATTGGGGCTCAAGTCAAGCAGTTTGTCACAGGATCTGTCCTTGGGTGTCTGGCCTTCTATCTATCCTATTTTTGGTGGCATGGGAAAAGACGATTGAAGAACTGCACATAAATAAATAATTAAATGACAGCTCTCAGTATTTTCAAAGAGTCATACTTTAAGTTTATGTTAGTTCCTCTTGGGTGCAGCAGATATTGCATCAAAATATTTCCAGGAATTTTGTTTACACAACTTTCAGAATAAATTGCGTTTTTATTATTATTTTTGAAAGATTTTATTTATTTGACAGAGTCAGAGAGAGAGTGAGGGAGCAGAAGCAGGGGGAGCAGCAGAGGGAGAGGGAGAAGCTCCCCGCTGAGCAGGGAGCCCGACGACGCGGGGCTCGAATCCAGGACCCTGAGATCATGACCTGAGCTGAAGGCAGACACTTAACCGACTGAGCCACCCAGGTGCCCCTAAAGCGCATTTTTAATGAGGATACACACTTCCTGACCCCAAGTGGGTCACTGACACTTACCTGTCATATCATCAGTTGAGAAAGAAGTTGGGGATCAGGAGGCAGTATGTCTCTTGAGTGGAGAGAGGATGGAGTTGAAGGAGAGACACCCGGCTTTGCATCTGGACTGGCCTGCCAGTGGCTGTGGAGACTCAGCCAATCTCGCTGTATCGATGAGTTGCACGACCTCATCTGTGGAATGGGAAAAGCATTTCCCTGGTGATGTCTTGGTGAACCTCTGGTGCATTTTAGGGGCTTAGAAAGGATAGCTGTTATTATTACCTCTGATTTCACGGAATTAGGTATAGACAGCTCAAACAGACCCCTGTTTTGTCATGTGGGAACAACTCAGGGGTCAAGGCTGGGCGTTGCAGACCTATCACATGGGCCTCCCAATAGACAAGCCCATTGCAACAGAAGTGCTTTTCTGCGTCCTGACAGTTGCAACCCAAAGGTCAAATGATCTCACTCCCTGCTCCCGGCAGAGCATTCAGCACGCCTCCCTTGCCCTGCAGCCCTGCTTTCTCTGCACAGTGCGGCTGGGGAAGGCAGTGGCTGACTTTGTTCCTAATTCCGGGTCCTGCAGAATTCTGGCTTTCTCTGGTCACAGCCAGCATGCGGCCAGTCTCCCTCTTTTACCTCCTCCAACCCCTCCTTTTCACGAATTTCTGGCACCTTCATCACTCCACTGTCAGGCTGCCCGGGAAACCTGAACACTCCTTCTGGGATTTCGCTGAGCAGATTTAGTCCATCGGGACCTATTTCAGGACTCTGCCTCTATGGCAAAATGACTCAAGGGGCAGTTCTTTCCCTGAGATTCTGGGGCCACTTATATATATATACACACACATATGTACTGTATGTTATATATATATTTATATGTATATTTATATATATAATGTGTGCATATATATATGTAACATAAGCATAAAACTTAAAACATAAATATAAAACAAAAAACATAAAAATCCTAAGTCTTCCTCACACCCACCAGTAACACCCAGTCCTTCCTCCCCTACTGCTATTAGTTTCTTATTTATCTTTCCAGAGGCACTTACCCTTTACAAAATTTCTGTGCTTCTCTCCCTCCCTTCCTCCTTCTTTTATTTATTTAATTTCCCTTCCTTCCTTTCTTATAAATGAAAGCGTGCTGTATTGTTCTATGCCGTACTTTTTTAAAAAGATTTATTTATTTTTATTTTTAAAAAAGATTTATTTATTTTTAGAGTGTGAGTTGGGCGGGGGAGGGTGGAAGGAGAGGGAGAGAGAGTCTTTAGCAGACTCCCTGCTGGGCCTGAGA